TTTTTTTTTTTTTTTTTTTTTTAAAGGAAAAATGTTTCTTTTATCCGTTTGGTTTTAAAAAATCGTCAAGCTTCTTTTTTATCAATGTTTTATTTGCGAAGATACTCTTATTCGTAAATATAATAAGTTTGAACTGTCTTTTTTCAAATAAATGTATGTAAAAAAAAAAAAAAAAAAAAAAAAAAAAAGATTATTATATTTCAGTTTTTCGATAACATTTCAAGAATTACAACGTGTTATTTCCAAAATCAATTGATCGTTCGCAATAAAAAAAAAAAATAATTAAATAACACAACGAATATCACATATATCATTTAACGAACGGTAAATTGATCTTGGAATGAACAAGTGCCAAACCTTGACCCTCTTATAAATCACTCTCGACTCATCCTTTTCAAGGTCTTCTTAACCAACACATTTCCATCTCTCAATCGGAAAAAGATAAATATTTTTCGCGAATTTCGATTTTTTTCGAAAAATTCGAAGAATCAAAAAAAAAAAGAAAAAACTTAAGATTCATTCGCAATAAATGATCGTTGAACGGCATCGTTCCATCGATTTAAATTTCCCGTTCGAGGGGAAAGAAAATTCGCTCGTAAAGATCGCGAGAGGCGATCACGAGCGTCCCATTGGATGGCGGTGTCCCATTCGAGGGCAGTAAAACGACCGTAAACGTTTCTGGCTTATAAAAGCGTGGATAAAACGCGTTTCCCACGCGTCCAATCGGTCTAACGGCCGGCTTAAGTGATTGCTTCTCTTCATTAGAGGCACGATAGAGTCCATCTCCTCTCTCTCTCTCTCTCTCTTTCTATATCTTCTCTCGAGAGAAACTTGAGGGACAGGTGCGGTAATGGCCCGTATCCGAGCTGGATATCCGCGTCTCTCTCTCTCTCTCTCTTCTCTCGCTGGGAAAGGGGAAAGGGAGGAAGGCAGTTGCAGTCGATTTAACCCCTGCGCTCTTCCCCACCACCCCAGAGACTATTACGCGAATTGATTCGGCATCGACTCTCCGTTGGCCGGGGTGGGCAAGCATCGTTTAGCTCCTCGTTTCTTCCATTCTCTCCTCCCTTCCTTGTCCTAACGCGAAGATTGTTTCTTTTGGGGGAGAAGGGGGGAGTCTGTTTGCACGGTGAATCCGTTCTTTCTTTTCCTTTTTCTTTTTGAATTGATTCAAACAAAATTTTAACATGGATTTTTTTTTCTTTTTTTTTAATTCGTAACTCGCCGGTATTTTGGATAAAGATAAAGAATTTTTTCCTCTCTTTCTTTTTCTTTCAAAGATTTTTCTGTCAAAGGTGAAGGAAAAGTTTGGAATTGAAGATAGAATTTAAGAATCCTCTTAGAATGGAAGATCTTGAAAAAAGAAGATTAACATTTGAATTTTCCATTAGCTAAGATATTAATATATGGATGATTGGAGCAACACGTAAGAGGGAGGGGGAAAGGTAGGCGAGAAGACTGGAACATGTAGAAAATGTAGAGATCAATCGTGGAAACGGAAAGGGTGTTGGAGAAGAGGAAAAATAATTCACGCGGGCACGCGGCTACCCTTGGTACGGCACTGACTGGCGGGCCAAGGGGCTGGTTGGCTGCACCTTCCTTCCTTCCCCCCGCCCCTTAATCTAATCCAAGGATAATCTAAAATTCATGACACACATAACTGCCAGGCGATGATATATCTGGTGGGGGTGTAGAGGCAACGTCTTTCCTCTTGCATCCCTTGGTCCATCCGCTTCCACCCAACCCCTCCCAACAACTCGACCTGGCACAGCTATAGCTATATATATGATTCCGAGTTTCTCGCAATCACTGGTATTATTATTTAATGCATCATGGTCGGGTACATGCTCGCCCTCCGGTAAATCGCGATATCGCGCGGCTTTCTCCTATTCATCAACCGCGAAATGGCGCCATTTTTTTTTCCTCCCCGCCTCTTTCCCACCTCCGGATTTGGAAAAGGTGAGAATATTTATTTTTATGAAACTCTTGAAGAATGTAATACTCTTATTACGTTAATAGTAATAATAGCATACGATGGACACAATGTTTATAACGATGTGGATAATATTTATTTTCTTTTTTTAAGAATATTATTAGAGTTAACTCTTGCGCGAAATATGTATGATTATTACTTTGAAAGACGAAGAAGAAAGGAATATTTGTTTGAATTTAACTTTTATCGAAAAATTCTATAGCAAAAAAGTGAATATATCAAGAAACGGATATAAATATTGAATTTCTGATGAACAATATTTTCTTATCGAAAAAAATATATATATATAACGAATATAGAGATTCCAGATTTAAATCTTGAGGAATTAAAAAACACGATTAAGAATTGAACGTATTTCAATATTTATTTTAACCTCGAGAAACGTATTTCTTTCCTTCCGTTGAAAGAAGATGGCGAAGAAGCAAGAATCGAATCGATCAACGTTAATCGCGTAAATCGATCTGATTACCGCGAATAAGGGAATGGATAATTGTTTTATCGTTTTCCCGGTTTATTTGGCCGCGGGACACGTTCTTTTCCATCGCTCTCCGTCGAAATAGAATCACGCTCGAATCGAGTTAATCGACGGTGTGCAATTTGAATAATTTATTCGAGCCCGACTAACCGAATTGTTGCTCATTACGCGTTCATGGCTTGTCGGTTAACCGATTGATTATCCTGGAACGGTGGTACACGCTACTCGAAAATCGGGTAAACACCACCCGATTTAACAGTGACGGGCACTCCGATGGAGGTCGCCTTCGTCGTTGATAATTATTCTCGCTGCGTTGTGAACACAGGATTCCGAAGTATCGACCGTGGGGAGTGCAATATTTAATCGCGAATTATTGGTCTGGTTCGATGATTCGTTTACGTCGTTAATTCATTAATCCTCGTGGACGCGTCCGCGGCTCATCTCTGATTTTATATATAAGAAATTATACGCCATTAAACGGCGACCGCCATTTTCAAATTAAAAATTATTATTCGAAGTGAATTTTTCATGATTATTGGACCCTTTTCGATTCGAAAATTGTTGTGGGAAAGAATTGTTGCTATTTTTTCTTTTTTTTTTTTTCTTTTTCGAATCATCGCGATTCGGGCGAAATAAATAAATTCGCGATCGAATCATGAATTATGGAGGGGGGGAGGGTCAAGTAACGACGTTTACATGGCGCAAATAACGTGATCAGCCATAAGGGGCCGCGATAACCGCGACGATCCATTTTCATTCCCCGCGTGATTATTCTACGCTCGTCGACTCGTCGACTTTTCGACGAAGGGCAGCTGGTAATTGATGATCGCCACTGGTTTTCGCGGCCCATTATATCCCAGTTACCCACGCCACCGACAGGATGGCGGAGCGGTTTCAATCGTCCTTTCCTTTATGCGCAATAAACACCGTCTGATGATTAAATATTTCCACCTAAAGATCTTTAAATTAATCGTATGAGCCGAGAAACGCTTTAATAGTACGAACGGTATTAAATTGAACAGTGATTTGATCTGGAAAAATATGAATGACGAGGAAAAATTTTTTTGAAACAAATGAGTATATGATTTAATTTTATTTTAATTGTCAAGTAAAAAAAACGATTATTATCGATGCTTCGAATTTTTCTTATTATTAAAATAATATACCGAGGATCGTTCTTCAATAGATTTTAATTTTTTTTTTTACTTGGAATAATTTTAATCTAAACGCATATCGAAACTTATAAATTTAGCACTTATTTTTTAAATTGATCGCGAGGAAAAAAAACATCCTCGTGTCACGATACGATCCCAAAGTTGAGACTTGTGAATGTTCTCGACGCAATCAGACACGAAATATCAATACCATTAACGATCAGATCGATCAAGATCCCTGGAAAGAGGGACATTTCTAGAAACGTATATACCGCGTAAATAGGTAGAACCGCGTCGGTTCCTCGATCGAGGAGTCGAGGAGGGAGAGACGCACGTCAGAGGAGATTTTCACGGCACCCCTTGGCGCCCAGACAAACGACGGCCAATTTACGAGCAGCGGGAAAAGAGAAACTTCTTTAAACTCGGATTAAAATAAGCGACGAAAACGCCTTTTCTTCTCCCTTCTCCAACCTTCTCTCATATCCACCCTCGAAATTCATTTCACCGCATTATTTTATTCGTCGCGACGAAGGGGGAGGAAGGGGGAGGGGAACAGCTTTCGGTGACGATTCGTTAAATTGATGCGGGGTCAGCTATATTATACAATATTTTTTAAATATTCTCGACGGATTTTTGGATCGTTCTTGATAAAAGATTTATCAACGTCGTATCGATCTCAATTTCGTTATAAATATTCTCCACCAATTTTGGATTATTCTTGATAGAAAATTCTTGATCGAACGATGATGAATCTCGTAATTCTTACGAATTCTTCTCTCAGAAGAAATTAAATTACATTTGCGTCGATAAGACACAAAAGAGAATCGTGGAAAAGATGGAAATCGAACGAAATTCGGAACACCGAATTCAATTGTTTCTCGTCCCACGCGTTTGTAATAAAATTTTTTCACTCGAAGAAACGTTCCCTAAACTCGAAATACGTAGCCGATAAATTCGTGCGATTCTCAGAATCTCCCCCTTCATCCCCCTTCCTCCAATACCAACACGCTTCTCGTGTACGCAGGGGAGGGGGGAGGAGAGATTTGTTCACACGTACTCGAGTACCAGTTCGGGATTATAGTTTGAAAAGCGAGCAGTGGAGCAGTGGCGATGCGCGGGAATCGTTTTGTTTTTTAATCAGATGGCGCGTATCGAGCGAGAACGGGCGCGGCGGCAGGATAGGACAATAACGACGCCCTCGGGAGCGTCCAGGATGAATCCCGGCTAACGCGATTACGCGACGCGCAACTGATTTCGCCAACTGGTTGATTTACCTGGGAAACGCGTGCACGCCGGGCCGGCCATCCACAATTAAAATACATTAACGGAAAACGAATGGCCGGCGATCGAAGGTTCGACCTTCGCGTGATTGATGAGGAGAAAAGAAAATTTTTCCCTGCGCTGTGCATCAGGAATTTTTATTAACGAGTTGTATCGTATCGATGATGGACTTCGAATTGGATATATTTAAGTCGATTTGGATTGATTGTTGATTAAAATTGGCGAGTTTTGAAAATATCTTTGATCTAGGAGAAAATTATAAAAAGATAAAAATTATGTTTTTGCAGAAAATCTATTTTAAGAAAATATCGTGAAATATAATTATATCTTGTGCTGGGTATTCTATCCTTAATTTTATGAACGAGTTGTATCGTATCGATGATGGACTTCGAATTGGATATATTTAAGTCGATTTGGATTGATTGTTGATTAAAATTGGCGAGTTTTGAAAATATCTTTGATCTAGGAGAAAATTATAAAAAGATAAAAATTATGTTTTTGCAGAAAATCTATTTTAAGAAAATATCGTGAAATATAATTATATCTTGTGCTGGGTATACTATCCTGAATTTTATGAACGAGTTGTATCGTATCGATGATGGACTTCGAATTGGCGTTGGATATATTTAAGTCGATTTGGATTGATTGTTGATTAAAATTGGCGAGTTTTGAAAATATCTTTGATCTAGGAGAAAATTATAAAAAGATAAAAATTATGTTTTCGCAGAAAATCTATTTTAAGAGGTTAAGGAAATATCGTGAAATATAAATATAATAAAATATATTTTTGCAGAAAATCTATTTCAAGGTTAAGAAAATATCGTGAAATATAAATATAATAATAAAATATATTTTTATAGAAAATCTATTTTAAAAGGTTAGGAAATATCGTGAAATATAAATATAATAAAATATATTTTTGCAGAAAATCTATTTCAAGAGGTTAAGGAAATATGATGAAATGTAATCATATCTTGTACTGGGCACAATATCCTGAATTTTATGAACGAGTTATATCGTATCGATGATGGAGTTCGAATTGGACAATATTTAAGTCGATTTGGATTGATTATTGATAATTGGAATTGATTAAAATTGGCGAATTTTGAAAATATCTTTGATCTAGGAGAAAATTATAAAAAGATAAAAATTATATTTTTGCAGAAAATCTATTTCAAGAGATTAAGAAAATATTATGAAACATAAGAAGAAATTCGTCTTAAAAACTACGATAGATAAATTCAAAAATTCAAAATCTCGAAGAAAGGTCCTTTTTTAAACTAAGAAATTAAAAAAAAAATACTACGAAATATAGAAGAAACTTTAACTTTTTGTGTTTTTTTTTACATAAAAATCCTCTCACAAACATAAAAAAGATAAAAATCGCGAGATTTTTCTTTTCACCTGCCACCCACTTTTGAAAAAAGAATTAAACAAATATCCAAGTATAAAGTAAAATACCGTAAAAATATCACAGAGGAAGCCTCTACCCTTCTCCTTACAACGTCTCTTCAAACCTAAAATAAACGGATAGATAAAAATCGGAATGGAGAACGGTGAAAAGTGAAACTGGTAATTAAAAAAAAAAAAAAAAAAAAAAAAAAAGAAGGAAGCATAAAGAAATATTATGGTAACGCGGGAGCGCGAGGTGGATGGTAATGGCGCCCGAGGGACGAGAGGGGTAACGCGATTAGACCGGGTGGAACGATTCGGCCAGCTTGATTTATCCGCGTACCAACGCGTTATTGCATTAGCGCCCCGGCGACGATGCCACTGGCCAGGGCATCGTCCCGGGGACGGAAACCCGTGGCCACCGCACAAGGTCCAGCCGTCCGTGAATCATCCCTAAGAATTATGTCTTGGACGATGGTGCCAGGACAAGCCGATTTGTCGGCTGGCCGTAGAGCTTCCTTAACTTCGTAACACCAGAGAAATGGAGGATTANGAGTTTAGAAGCGAATTTCCTTCCTCCCTTGTTGCTTCAACCGTGGAGAGAATCGGATCGTTCGTTTCCTCGAACGAGGAGATGGAGAAAGAAACAAACTTTTTCGCAGAAATTTTTTTCTTCTCGAAAAGGGCGAATGGAGAAATGTATGAAAATGGTGAAAACGGTGTTTTGGATCGGATTACACGTGGTGAGAGAAAGAAAAGAAGAGGGGATCGAGAAGATGATGATTTTCTGAAAGTTTCTTCGTCGCATCGACGAAAGATTTCGTCGGGGACGAAGCATCGAACCGCTCTCGTCGGGGTAATAATGAGCAATAAACAACCCACGTTTCGATGATTCAAGTTTATATATTTTAAAGCTAATAGTATACAGTGACAATCATGTATCCAAGAAACAGTCTCGAGTCACAAAATCGAGTCCATTTTTCAATTTAATCCGCGTCGAAATTTCTATATTCGAATATCCCGCGTCGCTGCAAATTTTCGAAAATTCCCCTCTTCTCGAACCGGCTCCCTCCCCGAAGCTTGAGAAAAATGTAATCGAAATTTAATCAATAGGATAACTTTCTATGGTCGCGAAACCAGAGATCCCCACGGATTCCCCGCTCGCTTCCAAGCCACCCCCCACTCTCTACTACGAATCTCCTCTGCTATTTATATTTATATTTATATTTATATATATATAATACTTTATATTGTATAATACACACTTCTCCCCCCCGAATCGTTCACTTTATACACATCGAGACTTCCGTTTGTACTTGTCGGACACGCAGACGTGACGAGTATCCTTACAAATTATCACCATGCTTTCAACGAACGAATAAACGACGATATTCTCTCGAGACAACCAAGATCCAGAAATTATCATTCCCTATATGTGTATATATATATATATATCACCAACACTGTTCAACAACGATGGCGAGTCCCAAATAAAACGTTGCCAATTTTCAAGATAAATCTCTCCCCAATTTCGATTTCCAACATTGATCTTAAACTTGAAATTAAAATTCTCTTCCCNTGCGGTCGTTATGTTGCCACCTGCACCCTGGATCGGGGGGTGCAACCTCAACGCGGGAAGGTAGGGCGCCACTCGACACGGTTCCAACGTAGCCGGGGGGCTGCGAGGCGCCAGCACCATTCCACCTGCAACGCCTTCCATTCCAACCAACGTGTGGGTTATTTCGTGTGTTGTAGGAGTAATGTAAACGATTGTTTATTTCATTTTTTTTTTGGTATTATTTAATCATTTTATTATTCAGTCAGTCATGGGATGAGAATGTTTCTTGTGAGGAGAGAAGAAGTCTAAGAGTTCGAGTTTCCTTTCGAAAAGGAAGCTGGATTTCTATTTTTCTTTTTTAATAAAAAGTTGTTATATTTATATCGTATTATATGTTGTGTTATTGTTGTCGTCTATGTTGAACGACAGTAATTAGAATTTTTATGCTTTTAAAAGAGAAATTTTGTTATTATTATTATTAGTTTCTTGGAGGAAAATAATTATTGTTGATATTTGTTTGGATGTGGAAAGTGGATGAAAAACGAATGGACGGGTTCGTTTTACCTTTGTGCAATTGACTCTCGTGCTTGCGACACTTGGCACGCCTGTTCTGGAACCAAACTTGAACCCTCGCCTCGCTTAAACCGAGTCTCTGGCTAAGTTCTTCCCTCATAAAGGCGTCGGGATAATGAGTCTCGTCGAACAATCTTTCCAATTCGGCCAATTGTTCCAAAGTGAAATTCGTTCGAGATCTTCTCTGTTTCCCGTTCCCGTTGCCGCTGTTCCGGCAATTCGACCCTGGAAAAAAAAATATTTCAAAACGGGTGATTCCAGAAAGGAAAGCTAGAAAGAAAATTAATCGATCGGGTTTTCTCGAGTAATAATTTTTCTAATTCTACCTCTTCTTTCTCGTTCCAGGGATTTTTACGAGGATCTTTAAATCGCGGGAGCGGTCAAGAGGAAATTCCAAATTTAATCACCGCATAATCGTTCACAGGTCATTTCTTCGCCCGGCGACATCAACATAAATTCCTTCCTTTTTACGAGGATCTTATTCAAATTACGCGGCGAGAAGAAGTTTCGATTAGTCGAAATCAGAGAGACGTCTCGTCGGAATACGATTTACATCTCTCTTCGCGAAAAACATTGAAAAACTCTTCTTTCTCTTCGGTGAAATTAACATAATTACTCCAATTTTGGATTTTTGGATAAAAAAAATGAGGAATTTTCCGTATTTTATCGCCAAACCCGTTCTATTTTATAATTTAAAGAAACCTTTGTGCGATAATTTGATCGAGTCGATTTTTGAAATATTGAAAAATTTAGGAAAAATCAATATCACAGTTATATTATAGAAAATGAATTTCACGTGGACCAAATCGACATGCAAAAATTTGATCGAGTTAAAATTTTTGAAACATTTAAAAATTTAAGAAAAACTATTATCACAGTTTATGCCATAGAAAATGAAGAATTTCACGTGGACCAGATCGACAAGCAAAAATTTGATCGAGTTAAAATTTTTGAAATATTTAAAAATTTAAGAAAAACCATCATCACAGTTTATGTCATAGAAAATGAAAAATTTCACGTGGACTAGATCGACACGCAAAAATTTGATCGAGTTAAAATTTTTGAAATATTC